AATTTGGTTATAAAAAATTGAAAAACCATGTATAACATGCATGGTATGTCAATAATTCTTAAACGCAAAAGAAGTTTATTTGAACTTGATTTGCCACAGCCATAATTAATGGAGCTCCAATGTCGATTAAGTGGACTTGTATTCATCAACATTTTACTATGGTTTAGAATCACCTTTTCTAGTTAAAACTCGAAGGGTCGATCCTTTATTTGCCTTGATAGTAATATTCTTTGGAGTATAATTATACACATCAAGAAGAGTCGAAATTCTAGTATTGTAGGGTACAGACACTCTAGCTCTACACGAATCACAAGCTAGTAGTGCTTATACAAGTAGTAAAGACTTATATAGGGTCTGACTTTCTTTTCTTTTCTTTTTTACTTATTTCGGGGTGACGCTCTCAAAAGAATTTTTTTCATATTTAGAATTCGAATTTAAGACTTCTAATTAAAGGTGAAGGTGAGACACTCCCACTAGTTCTATCACAAACATACGTTGGTGATTCTTATTTTTTTGATAAAGTTTGTTGTGAGTTTGTGTTACATATGTTGATTATTAACTTTCACTGTCACACTTTTAATAAATATCACACATATTTTTCTTTTATTTATATTTCACCATTCATCTCCAAATCCAGGAAAATATCAGCCTTTACTTATTATTTGTTGTTATTACCCTATTTTTCAACTTGTTAGATTTTTAATTTATTTTGCCCTTTCTGATAACACAATCCACTACTTCTATTCTATTCTTTCAATGTCAGTTTACGTGAATTCAACCTATGAGAATGGCCACATAATTTTGAGAAAGAAATGATTATTTTCACCACTTTTATGTCTTTTAACTTGTCATATTGTATATAGTTATAAGATTTTTTGAAATTCATGGTCATCAATATTGTCATAACATTTAAATATGGCTAGATTTAATTATTATTTAAAAATTCGTTTCTTATCCATTGCTAGATTTTAGTTAAGTTTTTGTCATGAATTAGGATGGGGCAGTTGCTCCTTTCCAATATAATGACATGATCAATTACATTGTGGTGCCTTTGCCTATCAATAATTCATGTCGGCGTTAATTTTTCTCTGAAAAAAATAATAATCTAGACACGTAGTCTAATCACTGTTAAAAGAACAAAATATTCCAAATTCATCCAAAACACTTGGGAATTTCTCCCCATTTGAGTGGTGAATATATATAGATTTTTTAAATTATACCACTTAAAATTAGACATTTGTGTGGTTATAAATTATCTTATTTAATATAAAATAAAAAGTTTGAAATTTAAATATTTTTTAATTAGAAAAAATATCTTCAATCTTCAAATAAAAAGAGTAATGAAGATAAAAATTTAGCGGATACATAAAGAAAAAGACAAGTGATATAATACTAGGAAACCAAAAATAACCATGCGCGCTATTCAAATTTTAATCGAATCTTCAATATGGACTCCGGACATTCAGCTGAAAACAAAAAAAAATAGTACTAGGAATAATTTGTGGTGGAGAAGGCATGGTGCGCGGGTATTAATGTCATCGAGGCAAGACTTTTTCTACTGTGACATGATGTAACACGTACTACGTACTAATGTACTATTAATACGTATTATACGTAGTTAATAGTACGTATTCCTTAGTCGACATGAATTTAAACGGAAGAGGCTCTTCTCTAGTATACTAATCTCTTCGATTGGTTTAGTGCATTGCTAGTTTAATAAAGTATGACTAAGAAGAAAGGATTCTAAGCACCAAAAGAAAGTGAGAAAAATATTAATTATGATAAAACTCTTTAGTTAACCAAAGAAATATGAGTCATTAGATTATTTGTATGACATATGTTAAAATATTAAAAAGGTAATGGAGGAATCGGAGAGATCTATTATCGGAGAGGAGCCAAAATCGATTAAAACGTTGTTAGTTTAATTTGGTTATAAAAACTTAAAGAACCATTTATCACATGCACTGCATGTCAATAATTCTTAAAACACAAAAGAAGTTTATTTGAACTTGATTTGCCACAGCATTAAATATGAAACCTCCTACCCTACAATGACAAATTAATGTCAATAATTCTTAAAACACAAAAGAAGTTTATTTGAACTTGATTTGCCACAACATTAACTATGAAACCTCCTACCCTACAATGGCAAATTAATGGAGCTCCAATGTCAATTAAGTGGACTTGTATGTATTGAGAAAAGAAATTAAGGTTCAAAGAAACCCTTCAAAGTTTCACTATGGTTTATCTAGTTAAAACTTGATCAATCCTTGATAGTAATATTGAACTCTATAATCTTGGTTTATAATTAAGTATGTCACTCTCGAAAGTTATAGCATTGAACCTATGAGAATGGGCACATAATTTTGAGAAAGAAATGAATATTTTCATTACTTTCAAGACTTTTAACATGTCATATTGTATATAGTTATAAGATGTTGTGAAACTTATGATCTTCAATATTGTCGTAACATTCACGTGACTATAGAAGCTTCTCAGTAAAGCTAAAACGACAAGTTTACACTATGCTATTTCTAAATTTAGAATGATTCAGTCTTTTAGTTGAAAACATTTTATGCACCGTTTAAGAACACTTTTGACCCTTTTCTATATTAAAAAAAAAAACAGTTTCACTTGCTCACAGTTCATATATTCAGCAGTCGGCCTGGTACATGTATGATCAATTTGCCTCAGTCTTAACAAATAAAAGAGAGAATTGCATAATGACACTTGAACTACTTATATAATAAAAAACCATGCTACATTAAGGTAGTCATCATCTGCTAGATTTTGGAGCAGGGAGAAAACAGAAGAGCAACTAGAGTATATTTGTACATGTTCAAATTTTTTTGAAAAAATATAAGTTTAATTTTATTCCTCAGTTTTTTTATTATAATTTGCTCACTAGTTGGGCCTCTGCTTCTTTGAGAAAAATGAATCGTGATTGATATAATACTCTAATAATGATGAGAAACTTTAAGATTTTCCACTCAAAAATTCGTTTATAAGGTAAAGATTGTTCAAAAAGATTGGAACATTATTCAACTCTAATTAATATTGGGAAAAAAATTGGGCACAAAATTTGGCCCGACATATATTTTATTTATATTATTTTCTCTTTTTAATATTTTTAGTCATTTTAATACATTTTAGTTAAGAAATGGAAAAAGGTCTGTTTATTTAAAAATATTATACACTTCTAAAACTTTTTAACTAAATTCTAGTTAAATTTTCTGATCACTTAGCATTACCATTAATATTCACAATTGGAGCTAATAATTATCTGAACATTAATTAATTGAGATTGGTGTTCTACTTTTGCGTGAGGAAGATATAACCCCCACATGAACTCTGTTTATTAAGTACTTTGTCAGCTTGTATCCTAAATTTTTTTACTTGATTTTCATCCAATAAATTCTCAAAATTAAAATAAAAATTTTAAAACTCTCAAATCATAGTGTGTAGCTCATTTTTTCTTACATAAATGACATGGCATATATAGTAATATCATGTAATAGTTATTTCATAATAATTACTAGTACAAGACGTTACTCCATAAAATATAAAAAAAGAAAAAATATATATTTTAAAAAATAATTTAAAATAGTACTTGATAAACACGCTCCTTTAACGCTAAAAATCACGCTTGGTTGAGCAAGCTCAATTATTAAGTTTTCACATAAGTTTGGTTAATGATGAAAACACACAAGGGATTACAATATTGAATTTCATTGAGTTTGAAAAGCTAATTAACAAATTATCAAGTAGAAAGATCCAAAATACATTGCTGCTAAAAACTCTTTACTTCTAAAAGTATTTTTTTCAGAAATTAGTTTTTTTCGAAAAATAAACTTTTTAAAAAAAAATTGATGTTTGGACAAATTCATTTGAAAAGTGCTTTGAGATTCAAATTACAAAAAAGAGCAAATATCAATATACTTTTAAAATTATTTTGTAAAGAAAAACATTTTAAATATTTAATATATAACTTTAATTAGAATTTTATTTTAATTAAATTAAAATACACATAATCAAATTATTAATCAATATTGTACATAGATAAGTAAATAAATAAAATATTAATACATTGTTAACATGATGAGTTAAATATAATTAAAAATATCAAGTAAAATAAATTTAAAAACTATTCTGCAAATAAAATCACTAAATACGAAAAATCTTATAATAAAAATAGATAAAGTTCTTCATACATCACAAATTTTTTCAATGAATTTGATTCTAATTTTATCACGCAATATTTTCACAGGAGTAAACAACCTTGTATTTTTTAAGGTCACCCATCTTCTTGTTCGATCTCTATAATAATGTCTTCATTTGCAAAATAGTCTTTATCAGTGGTAGAATATCATCGTATGAAATTATTGTTAGCCATAATAGTTGTAACAAGATGAATTTGACTGTCAAATTTATAAAATAATATATCAAATATAAATAATAAGATATATAAATATAAATAAAATAAAAGGTTTATCATATAAAAAGAAAAAAAAAGAAACTTTTCAATGGAACTTAACAAAACTTATGAAATATGTTAATTAATTATTAAGAGATATAGATAAATATGTAAGTGATATTTTAGTCTTCACAAAAAAATAATTTTCTGTTTTCGTTTCTAATTTTCTTAAAAAAAAGAATTTTTAAGATGCAAAAAAGTTATTTTTACTCGACAGTTAATCAAAATTTTGATTTTTCCAAAAAAAAAAATATTCTTTAACTTTTTTTTTTTACCTCCCAACAATAATATAAAAAAACTCTTGAGTACTTAATATTTTCTCCAACTATTATCATGTGACTTTTCGTTAGTTTCTTTCTTTTCATGATTCTCGTCTTAATTAATAGTTTAGGTTCATAAATATTCAATGGAAAATTGGAAACTAAAAATATTGTAATTTATAACAAATTTAAAGGACTAAAATGTAAATATAGAAAGAGGGAATTATTTTGTACTAACCATCGAAACTAAGGGACTAATTTTGTCCTTTTGTTTCTTATTGACTGCTGCTCAACTGATAGGCTTATCTTTGCACTGGTGTTTCTTGAAATTCTTGATTCTTGATACAGATAAAATTTGCTACTTTTTATATGTTCTTGGGCATTGTCTCTTTATTCTCAATTTCAGTGGTGATGTTTTCAAAATCCCAATTTTGGCTGATGCTTTAAGTGGTAATCAGAGTTACTGATGGCATCGTCAGCCACTTTCAATGTTCCAATTCTTGTTTCTGCCTTTAATAAGACTAGCCATGCGCCTATTTCTTCCAGGCAAGTTTACTTTAGTGTTGTGTGAGTAAATCTCCAAGATAAAGTTTTTCCATGAAAAAAGGTTTGATATGTTTGGTTTATTTGTCATATTTCTACAATTTTAATTTTGTTTGTCTTTGTAAACAAAGACTTTTGGATTTTATGTATGTACCAAATTACTTTTTAATCTCATCGTCTTAATGTGTCATATGTAAAGTTTAAATCACAAAAAAAAAGAGAAGAAAATCACTGGTAGTTACTACCTCCCACTAGTACTAGTGCAAGTACCGGGTATATCTGTCGATCAAGCGTTCGGATAAATAGGAAGAAATCACCTAGTATATTTACCGTGGACTTTCTATGTGAGACCTCATTGTTCTGAATTCACTTTATTAACCACTAGTTTATACTCTGGGATTGAGTCAAGAAGGGCTTGACTCTAAATAGAATTGTCATTTTCTATATAAGTAGTTCGAGAGCTGGAAATGCTACTCATTTACCTGTAACGAGCATGCTTAAAACATTAATGGAGTGGGAAATCTACACCCTGTTCGGTACACCAGCAAATAATTTTTATGAGGAAATATTATTAAACATAGGTATGGTTGAAACAGCGAATATGTTTTAGACTAGTATGTGATCAATATTTTTGCATATGCATAAATGGAGGAAACTGTCTCTGGCTACTCAACTTCAGGACATGTCAAAATGCATGAGGTGAATACATTTTGTGGATATGTTTAAACGTAAATGCAGTCGTGGCTATCCACATTTGTACGCATGAATGCAGGGCATGTAACCTTAGGAAATATCAAAGTTCATGAAATGAATCTGTTCTGTAGATATTTTCTTATGTGTAGCTTCAATACATTATGAATGCTTCCTTTTATTTCATTTCCTTCTGTAGCTTATTAAATATTTAGCTGTTTACATAGTTGAATTTGCAAATGCTAGAAAATGTTTGCTTGTCATTTGATTGCTGAACATCCCAAAGATGTTGATTATCTTTGGGCTTGATTTTTGAATAGTTACCGCAATGTCTGAAAACCTTTTAAGTTCAATCCCTGATCAGCAATTGAATCTTTTCTGACCTTGACATTATGCGGTTTGGCAGGAATTTTATCTTAAGGACTTGTTCACTACCATCACACGTCAGACAAAGATCAATCTGCTGCTTCCAATGCACAGGAAGATCTGGCAGTGTTATTGACTTAGGATGGAAAGAAGTCAAGCAATGGCATTCAAGCCTGAGAGGTTTCTTCATGTGTAAAGTGCAACAACATGATGCTACCAGTGAGGAGAATGAAGAAAATATCTCACAAGCTACTTTGATATGGAGGGCAATCAAATTGCCAATATACTCTGTAGCCTTAATTCCTCTAACTGTAAGTTTTGAAGTCTTCTTTTGGAACATTTTCAACTATATATGTTGTTTGGATTTTGGATGTAAACCTATGTGAATGGCATAATGTGAAGGTAACACCTAACTAGTTTCTTATATTTAATGATATTCAAAATGCAAGCAATCATTACGAGTTCTAATCTTGTGTTACCAAACTATACAAAGGCTACCTGTGGTTTGTTAAATATGTTACTTAAATTGCCTATCAAGAAAAATGTGGTGGATTTTTTTTATATATTTGTTGAGAAGTTTTATTTACAGATCGGAGATGATGCAGAATCGCCATTGTGAATAAACTAAACAAGCTAGCTAGACCTATAACTGCAGCTAGAAGACTATTATAAACAGTATAATAAAATAATAAATTGAACAGCCTGAACTGTTGTCAGGAGCCGGTAAACTTCAATATGTGAGTGATGATGATTACTAGATAGGCGAGATATTTTGTATTCCATTGAAATAACATGATCATGTTACTCAAAAGATTGGAAAGAACAGGAAGACAACTCTGAGGATGTCATTGTTACGTCATTTTTGGTTTTATTTGGAAAAAAAGAAATAGGAGATTTTTCCATTAAAGCTAGAGTGATGTTAGGCTTATAAAAAATTCACCTATATTTATTTATTTTTAGGGTAAAGGGTGAATTCCCTTTTATACGTAGAAGTTTGATTCTGAGTTTAGTTGAGCAAAAAATCCATATTGTTCTTGTTTCTTGGAGCCCATCTATGTTTGGTGTTAGTGGTTTTCACTTGATCTAGCTAAAGAGATTTCCAAAGTGATTCCTTTGGTTTTGTTGTTGTAGTGAATAATTATAGTAAAACTGTCTATGCTTATAGTGAACAAGATTTTGCAGCATCGTCACACTAAAATCTCACTGTTCTTTTGCTCCTCATGAATAGGTGGGGAGTGCAGCTGCTTATTTGCAGACAGGCCTCTTTTCTGCTAGGCGTTATTTTATGCTGTTGGCATCTTCAGTTTTTATTATCACTTGGCTTAATTTAAGGTGTGTGTTTACTGTCTTTGGGAATTCTATCTACTACTTGATCATGGTGGCATGGTGGAAATACTTTGATGTGCTTTCACCATCTAGTCAAAGTTGTCTAGTGCAAGAAGCACTTGATTGAATGACATTTAGATACAATCAAATCCCTCTTCAATCAACAAGATGAAGTCCTTTTAGGTTCATCTTGTTGCAACAATTAATGAATAAGGATAGGGGTAGGACTTTTATATTGGAGGGGTTAGTTCTTGAAAATCTTGTTTTCTTCTCTAGTCCTCTGCTTCTTTTTCCCCCTCTCTTTTCATTTACTTTCATTACATTTTCTTTTCTTCTACCCTTAAGTGTAATCCATGTTGCCTTGGCAAGAATTGTATATTTTGAGATTGTTTCTGAACATATGAGAGAGATATTTGGGCTAACTTGGTAGATGGAAGTGATTAAGCATCAAACCCACTGTTTCTTTTAAAAAAAACTGTGGTGTCTGGGATAGCTCGCGCACACCTCAACTAATTTCAAGGGGTACCTACTATCTCCCACCATTTCAAGTACTAGGCAATTCTGCCCATCAAGGCTTTGATAAATGGGGAAAATCACCTAGTATTTGCCTCCGCAGGGATTTGAACATGAGAGCTTATGGTTCTCTACCCACTTTATTGACCGCTAGCCAACCCTTGACATTGCCTTGGTGCACTATAATAGGAATAATTTTGATTTGTTTTAAAAAGGTTGTACTTTATTATAATGCATGTGGCTCTATTTTTTATGGTTATGTTACAAGTAAGGACTATAATGTCCTTGTTACACATCTTGCACTCTGTATCAATATTTCTGTAATCTGGGCAGCAACGACGTTTATGATTTTGACACAGGAGCTGATAAGGACAAGAAAGAGTCAGTTGTGAACATTGTTGGCAGGTAAAAATTTCTACTGCTGCCATGACAATCGCATTACTATTTTATTTTTTTCCTTTTTTTTTCTTTTTTCTTTATCTTACTTTAATTGAATAGGATGATGTACCATAATTTTCTGAAAATGAAGTGCATGGCTGTGTATATTGAGCTCTTAATTCTTATGCTTGAAATCATTGTCATTGAATACTTGAAGGGGACAGGATAACCTGTATATTGACTAACCTTCAGTCAGACTGCTACTTGTCATAGTTACTAGATTGTGAGTACAAGCTAGATAAGTCAATAACCTGTATCAAGTATGTGCTAGAGTCTTTTGCTGACTAAAAGTATGTGTCAACTAAAATGTTACCTTTCTAAAAAAAGAAGAGGATGTATCAATTAAAGTCACTCTTTCTCAGACTGCTTCCATATTTCAGTTTGTGAATATGAGGTTCCGGTGACTTTTCCAGTATAAGGTTGCCTTAACAATGTGGTCTTGCAATGGCCTTATATTAATTTGTTTGGAATTACTGTTTTAAGGTTGACTCACTTTGCTTTGTAATCTTGGTGTAAGCCGCACAGGAACATTCGTTGCTGCTTGCTTGTTACTTGCCCTTGGCTTCTTGGGGCTTACTTATACATCTGTGGAGGCTGCAAATCTACGTGCTATATTACTATTAGCTTCTGCAATTACTTGTGGTTACATATATCAGGTAATTCAAATAAGGGAAAAGGGTTTAATATACCCCTCAACTTTGTCATTTGGAGCTGATTTACCCCTTTATGAAAGTGGCTCATATATGCCCTTACCGTTATACAAACGGCTCACATATACCCCTGCCGTTACAAAATGAGCTCACATATACCCTTCATTTAACGGAAGTTAAAAAATTAGTTTTAAATTTATATTTTTTACTTTTAATTTTTTAAAAAAATTATTTAGGGGTATATATGATTCTTTTATCAAAGTTCAAGGTATATTTTAATTTTTTTCATACATAAATCATTTTTTGACTTCTTTTATTATAATTATTTGAGTTTCTTATTCTTATTTTTTTCTTTCATTCCTTAGTTTAAAGAAAAAAAATTTAACTTTTTTTGTCTATATTGTAATTTGATTTTTGTATTCGAAGAAAAAATTTTGGTCATCTACAACAAGTTTTACAAAAATATTAGTGAAACATAAATAAATTTGATTATCAAAATAATAATTCTAAATTAGTCATTGAAATAAAAAAAAGTCAATTTTTTTTTTGATGAGGATTAAATTTACTCATAGGGATTATACTTTTTAGAAAAAAATTAGAGGAAAAGGGTATATGTGAGTCATTTGTTTATAAGTAGGGATATAAATGAGTCACTTTTAATAATAAGGGGTATATCAGCTCTAAATGACAAAGTTGAGCTCTAAATGACAAAGTTGAGGGGTATATTAGATTTTTCCCTTCAAATAATTTAGTTCAATGGAATCTTCTATACTTCTGATCCTGCATATATTGCTCCATAAGCAATATTTATTGTTATGGTTAACATAGGAAATTCAACATCTTAATTGAAGTGGAAAAGGTTCTCTTTATAAAGAAGAATTGAACTTCAAATGGTTCATTCTTATAACCCCGCTAATTGCTACAATGCTTGGAAATCGAAGTTTTCGCTTAAAAAATCTCTAATCCAAGTGCAATTAATCAATCTATCATGCCTTAATCTCAATTTCCCATTGGGATAACAGGAAGTAGTCAGCCTTCTTGAACTCTAATTTTTCTCTTCCCTGCTCCTACTTTACTCTTTCACCCTCAGCTGTATCTGTTCAAAGTTTCCCTCGATGGAGCTTGCTCAATACCAACTAGTTTCTTAAAGAAAAGAAAAATAATTTCAGCTGTTTCTATTACAGCACCTGTCTTGTCCTCTTGTTCTCCATGCTAAATTACAAAGATCTTATTTTAATGTTTTTAATAATAAATTAGTGAGCTTCTGTGCTAATCTCTCTCTCTATGCTATATGGGAGATTTATGAGTAATTTTAGTTGTTTATTGTCTCTCTTTCCCCTCAATGTATAAATAATTGGATTCCGTTGCTTCTAACAAATTGTCTTGTAGTGCCCACCTTTTCGGTTAAGTTATCAAGGTCTAGGGGAACCCTTGTGCTTTGCTGCATTTGGTCCTTTTGCTACGACTGCCTTTTACTTGCTTCAAAGCAACACCAGGTTTGTCTTAATATTAGTACTCATATAATGAAGGCTTTTACACATAACTAAATCTGGTTTAATATGCATTTCAGTGAGCTCCCAATCACATATACAACACTTTCAGCATCAGCACTTGTTGGTTTCACAACATCACTTATCCTGTTCTGTAGTCATTTCCACCAGGTAATAAGGTCTCCTTACCTTCCCTGACTCAATCGTTGTGAGAAATAATTTGTTAACCATTGCTTTACCTGTACTTGCAACTCATTCATCTGATACAAAATTCAGGTAGAAGGGGATAAGGCCGTGAGGAAGTTTTCTCCACTGGTAAGTACACCTAGGTCAGACATCAAAAGTTCAAGTAGAAATGAAAGAACTATTGGTCACTTCTATTTTTGCCTCTGAGTTCAGGTTAGGCTTGGTACTGAAGCTGGTTCTAGAGTTGTAAAAGTGGGTGTGGCAACACTCTATTCAGGGATGCTTCTTCTCGGTTTTACTCAAACACTTCCGTTAACATGTATTGTAAGTCCTTATATGGTTTCTTAATGTGGTTACAATAATTAACAATGAGAAACTTCCTTTTCTGTTTATCTGCAACGTACATGTTTTGGGAAGCTTTTGTTCATTTGGTTTTAACCAGAAACAATTTCCTGAACTTGTAGTCACCAAAGAAGTTTACTAAGTTGTGATAAATCTGTTATGGATTTTGTGTTGGCGATTTTAATGTTATCATTTTAACCTTCAAATTATGAATACTTAGATATGTTCCACTATGTAATCCAGTATCAGTTTCTTCCAGATTCTTTGTGCTTTAACAATACCAGTGGGAAAACTCGTAGTTAGCTATGTGGAGAAGAACCATAAGGTGAGTGATGATCTTGTTTTGTTCTTCCACGAAAACATCATCTTGGTCATTGTTGGGGTAATATAGAAAGTGCAACTGTATATCCTCCTCTGACTTATATCTACTTTGCTCCCCCTTTGGGCAATCAATGTTCATTCGAGTCATGATTTTGAACTTCAATTTTTAGGACAAAGCAAAGATCTTTATGGCAAAGTATTACTGTGTGAGACTTCATGCTCTATTTGGAGTGGCTCTGGCTGCTGGCTTGGTAGCTGCTAAAATGGTTGCTAGATATCCTGTTCCAAAACCAATATAGGATTCATCAGGTTAGGCTTATCGTGGTTATAAAACTATTTACCAGAGTGCAGTATGAGTATAGCATTTACGTGAGAACGACTTTTTACTGATTTAGTGGCTACGTCTGATCTCAGGAATACACATTGTCGCTGAGAGACCTGAAAAGCATCAAGGAGCAATTTCTTTTACAAACTCAGTCTCTTTTGAATTCAAATTACAAGATGAACTTTCTACAGAAGGGAATGGAAAAAAGATTCAAAGCTTCTTGGCAATAGCCTGCCTGCTCGATCCAATGGACATTGGATTACTTGAACTGCCCTTAGTTCAGTAAATTTCCAAAATTCTTTTTGAGTGTATTAGACTTGAGCACTAAGAAGAACTTTCAAGAAATGCATGAATGTGATGCATCAATAATAAATTAGTGTTTCCTGATGACAATTAATTAATAATATAGGTTACATTATGTTTGCCTAATGGTGACTGATTTTGCTAAATTTCTATGTTTTAGGTCTTGATTATTCTATTGATTAAAGTAATTAAACTGGCTGATTAAAACAGAGCTACTTCTTTTAAATAAATCATATTAAAGTTTAAAATAAGAAGATTCATATAATTAACTCAACTTGCTCGGAAAAGGGGCATAGTTGTTTGTTTGTAAAATCGAAGATCATTGGACTTTTCGAGTCCAAAACAGACCTTCAAATCATTGACAGGAGACTCCGCCAGTCTCAGGTTTTCAATCAAGTTGGACTCTATTACAAGACAAATTTCAACAGACAAACAAACAGTGTACTGTCATCTTAATTTCTATAACTTCTACAACTGTTGAACTATCATAAGTTCATCCATTGGAATCTTGCTGAAGCATGTTTGCACCACAGCCTGGATAATTGACCATTCAGCCTAATACTAGTTTCTGACCAAGGTTTTATGTTGCTGCTGTATAAGGGACACCCAGTATTACTGACCACGTTCCAGGAATAAGTCCTCCACGAGTTGTATGATCCAACTGAGCACCAAGAAAGATATGTTTATCAGCTTGGGTCCAGCGCTAAGATCCGAGAACATGAGAACGCCGGAGCATTGCATATACTGCTGTTACTTGGTGCTTCATGTGCACATGCACAGTTGAGAATGTGGACTACTTCCTGTTACATTGCAAAAGTGGCAACACAGCTATAGTGAGAGTGCTGAATCGGTTGGAAAGTGAAGGAAGTTTCACAGCCCTAGGGAAGAAGGAAGAAGAGATGTAGGGATACGACAACAACATACCCAGTATATCCCACAAGTGAGGTGATAAATGAAGAAGAGATGTAGCTATAAATTCAAAAAGGAAAACTTTTTTTTTTTGAGATGGTAAATTAAACAGAAATGTCATAAAATGTCATGTACTCCTCACAAAAATGTAATGAGATCCCAAACAATTGTATGGCTATTGAAAAAAAATTACACAAACGGTTTTTACTTATCCAAACTTCTGCTTCCAAGTTCCAACCTTTGAAAATGCATGATACAGAAAATTCTATCTTGATTTGAATTTATGATCCCAATTTATTGGTTTAAATACCTTGGGCACTAAGAAAGGTGTGATTATTAACTTGATCGCAGCTCGGGTCCAGTGCTGACAGCTGAGAACATGAGAATGCGAAGGATCAGACATGTCATATGTTAAGAGCTTATACTTAATTTCTCTTACTTTCCAAATGTATTTCAACAAAAAACATGGAAAACACAATGCCCAAAAGCAAGACACAGAAAGAAAGGAAGCTTATGGGCAAATACCAAGGATATAAATTTAAAGATGAACAATAATCACAAAATCCAGATAATTAAAACCAGAAAAAGGACAAAACTAATTAATGGAACAAGGGTTTGAGGGAGAAGTTACATTACCTGGATCCCTACGTGCCAGCAAACGCGCATACTGCAACTCATTGGAAGGACCTTCCTACAAGGTCATGCGAGCCATCAAGGGCCCGCACTTAGGCGGGCCAAATAGCTGTGTATTGAAGTTCATAATTAGCAACCGCTAAATAGATTAACAAACGAATGATTTTTCGCTTTCGAGACGATGAAGGACAAAATCGCATGCAAATCCTATCATACCTTCCCTTCTTTATAACTGCATATACGTTGCTGAATTGATAAACTACCATTTCTACATTCAAAATCTACATCTTTCCTTTACTACTTTCGATACCAAATCTACAATATAAAGTGTGTGATCTCTAGAAAAGCAGTTCTCCCAATCCTTGTTTAACATTGACAGGTTATGGCAGCCTTCTATGTTTGATTGTGGTTGAATCAATGTGTCTCTCATACAAGTGCCTAATGAATGTGACTGTACAAGCTAAGTGGATTGAGATTACAATAGTAATGAATGGAACCTACCAGCTATCATTATCAAAGAAGTGGAGGAATACAAATTCACAAGAAAAATAAATCAATAGAGTACCTTTTTACACCTTAATGCAATAATTACAACCGCTGAGGGGTCACACATTACAATCAATTGGATCAGACAGGACAGAACAACCAAAGAGTACAACTGGCTTGATCATGCGATATGCCAATATATCCTAAAAGAGTGGGCAGTCATTGCACATGGTTCGTGATAGAGATAGATAAAGACCATAACAAAATCTGACCACAATCTTTATAAAGAAATTATCTCTAGGAATAAGTAACGTATTTCCCATTAATGGCATATCTTTTTTATGACATGTGATCTACCGCTGCTGTGATAAAAAAATTTGACAAGTATATTTGGCATATATAGCAATTCTCAAGAAAAGAGATATTCCTAACATGAATATGATTATACTTGGCTTAAAAGAATTGGAGAGACATCCCAGCCTTACTCTGCCCACTTGTTGCATGTCCTCAAGGTCTTCATATAGGAAACAGGCACACACCCTATTCATACCTGGAGGGGCCATTTGGTTTGCGGACTAGTTTATGCAGGGATCATGATGAAGGAGTGTTATGCAATGAATATCAATGTAGGGATTGTTATGAGCTGAATAATTGTCTACTTTGAAAGCAAAGTTTATGCTTCTAGATACTCTTATCCAAGTATCGATAATTACTATTTTTATTCCGTATCCTATCCCACATAAGATAATACACTATATCACACATAATTATGTTGGTATTAGCAATACATACTTTAGTATCACAACAAAAGAGTATTCCCTCCATCTCAAGTTTAAGTGTCGTAGAGCCTGTTTGGATGGACTTGTAGTTTTTGGCTTAGACACAAGTGCTTAAAAGCATTATTTTATCTTACCCAAACACTAGATAAGTGCTTAAAAGCATTATTTTATCTTACCCAAACACTAGATAAGTGCTTAAAACACTTAAAATAAGTCAATCCAAACATGCTCTTACTTTCCTTCTTGATTGTCCTAGAAAGACTGACTCTTTCTATATTAGTAAGTTTTCCAGTTTCAACAATCTACCTGGCAAGTTTAAGACCACAATAAAGACTACACACATTTTTATTTAAGACCACGAGATTCAAAAGTCTCCCTTTGTTTCTTAAACGCTGTGCTTACTCAAACCAAGACACTTAAATTGGGACGGAAGGAATATTTGTTATGCATAGTTTTACACCGGAAATTAAATTAGCAGTACAGAGTTTTATGTTGCAAATCAAACATAGTATATCAGACATGTAGAAATTTGTGTGCGGTGATACTTTCTTATGTTATCAACCAAACAATCCCTGACTACATATTCTCTAAAAATTTCTGGACAGAGCTGAATCAGATAACTTGTTTTGAAGCCTACTAACTTCCTGTCTGCATAGTGCTCAACCAGGAAACTAAGAAGTCCATATTTGCCTGTGTAATCTCCTTGTAGATTAGTCTCCTTTATCAAAAACACACTAGTGTATTAAGCAATTCTTATTTGTTCACCAAGGAGGGAAGGCCAAATGAGCATCTAATCAGCTATTAGAGTATATCAAGAAACAACAATTATCATTTTATTGAATAAATGCCATGAAAAGAATATAATTGTTACCAAATCAAAAACATAGAAAGACGAGAAATGACATGAAAAAAGAAATAAAGGAGTATCAGTCAGAAGCTAACTATGTAATCTTATGTGCTGAAATAATCTACATTCACTTTTCTCTCCTCATGTCTTCTGTTGCAGATGACTTACATTTCCATTATAAGGACACATAATACTTTAAATATAAAAAGACACACACACATACATATATACATTATATATGTAAACACACACAAACATACACACATAGCAATTGAAGAGGCATTTATGTACCAACCTGAAAGAGCAATATGTACATTTGACAATGCAATAATATGCTTCAAACCTTGCAAACCACTATCACCACTCAGCACAGATAACACCTTGAACGTCTGGGGCTCATAGCAAATAAATGCACTACTTAGAAACACCTTCTTTGTAATTGCATGCCATCAGATTCAAGTGTTGTCGCCCTAAACCAACAGATTGACTCATCTTGCATTAAAGTGAATTGTGGCCTTTGCAAGTGATGTGTTTTCCTAACCATTTGTTAAGAACACAAGATTATCTTTAATACGAGACAAGTATATTTGTTGCTTAAGGCTATTATCAACCTTGAACCAATGTCTCCATATCATTTTACTCTTCTTTGAAAATACAACCCCCATTGTCTGCAGTTCCTTTTTCAACTCCACACCCTATGAACCAATATAATTGGTTAAAAGTAATAACTACATGCATTTTATTAGACAAAAAGTTAAAAGTTCAACAAAATTGGGACCAAAGAAAATGATAGTTTCTTTGAAGAAAAGCAGCAACTTAATCTTTTGTTTCAGATGTTTTCTGTCCGTCTATACAATGCAGAAAATTATTTCCAAAACTGAAATCTAGGTAGACTTCTAACACATTCTTGATTCACAAACAAAATATATTTTGCACATTCTTCACATGTAAAATTTATTTACTCCCAAAATTGCAATACCTAGATTCAGTATGGAAGTCACTGCTAAGGAAGAATGGGTCCGAGGAATGTAGCCTGACCCGGATGGATACAAATGGCTAGTGTTGCGACGCCACCCGCCACGGTAAAGGGTCTTCTAGGGTTTTGACATAGTCGATTTGGGGGGAAAACCGGGTCATGGACTCTTTGTGTTTCTCGGTTGTTGCCTTGTTGGGTTATTATAGCCCATTGGGAAAATTATGCAACAAAGCAAACTTGTACTATTTAATTATGGGCAACTTTCACATATAGCAAACAAAAAAATCATATTTGTATAATATAGCAAACTTTGCATAATTGCGCTCCATAGCAAACATAAAAACTGTATGATTCGCTATACATATAAAAGTGTATAATTCGCTGGGCCTAAATTGTATAATTCGCTGGCCTATTTGGCTGCAATTGTATAATTAGCTTTGCATACAGTTGAATCGAATTAAAATGTATGTATATTGCATAATTATAAGTGTAGAGCAAGAAGATATATGTTTTTCTCGCTTTATACAAAAACAGAAACACAAATATATACACTTCTGTTGTATAAAGCTAGAAAAATTTGTATTTCACTGCAATTGTATAATTCACAATTGTATAATTCTTTGGCCTTTTTCTCTGCAATATTTGAAGTAAAATGTTTGTAAATTATATAATTAAGAGTATAACACAAAGATATACATTTTTGCATGTGTATATACAATTTTCTCTCGCTTTATACAAAACAGAAACAGAAATTATACACTTCTGTGTATAAAGCGAGAGAGGCGAGAATGGGAGAGTGGCGAGCGAGACTTCTGGGAGAGAGACGCCTGGCAAATTTTTGCCAACGTTTGCTATGGAGCACAATTAAATCAAACCCTAGCCATTCCATTTAATTTAGGTTATTAGTTTGCTATTTTAATACAATTTTCCCTATAATTATTTATTATCGGTATAGTTTGTTATAATTACTATTTGCCATTAATATTATACATTAATTATGTAAACTGACTTTGAATTTTTATAATTAGTCATGTTTGTATATGTATAATTCGCAGAATATACAAATACATATGTATAATATACAATTATTTAACCTATATACATATACAATTCATCACTCTCTGACCTCTCTTGCTCGCCTCTCTCCTCCCTCTCCCTATCTCGCTTGCCCTATATACAAATATATATGTACTATACAATTATATACATATATAATTCATCTCTCTCTCACTCTATGCCCTCTCTCGCCTTCGTCTCTCTCCTCCCTCTCCCAGTCTCGCTCTCCTCTCTCCTCCCTCTTTCAATTTCTCTTGCCATATATACAAATACATATGTATAATATACAATTATCTAAAATTCACCTTTCTCCCACTCTTTTCTCCCTCTAGCCTCTCTCCTCTCTCTCCCAGTCTCGTTTGTCTCTCTCCTTCGTATAACATGTAGTTACAAATTGTAATTATCAAACTATAGTCATGAAGAGTAATTAATTATTTTTAAATGGCTATATGTGAAAGTTTTCTAAAATAGCCGAATGAATCGGGTTATGGATTTCTGGACCATGGATTGTGGATTTGTAGGTCTGTTCAAGAATTCAATTGACCTAAATGGCCCTAAACATAAAATGTTATTATAGGAAAGAATTAACAATGTCCTTATACTAGGTAAAATTGAGCAAAAATGCACTCAATTAATAGTTTGGTACAAAAAAAAATTCCACTACTAGTTTGATCTAAATTTATTATACTTAATAATCAAAAATGTTTTTTTTCTAACTATATTAGTAGTGTTTTTTTCTTTTTAAACATACTCTATTTCTAATTTTAAAAAAATATTATTTATTAAAGAATCCAATTATTATTATTTTCTTTTAAAATAACTTTAGCTTATAAATAAGAAGAAAACATATTTTTCTTCTTAATCTCGTTTTAACAATTCTCCATGTACCTTTTTAATTAATCATGGTAATTCTATCATTAATTTTCTTTAGATAATGATAACAAAATTATTAATCTTTTATGAATTGAATTAGAACAAATATTTACTAATTTAAAAAACCATTATTACAAAAAGAATGTATTTGAAAAGAAAATTGAAAAAAATAATAGTATTTTTAATCCATTAATTAATAATAGAAGCATTTTTGGATGAAACTATTAACAAAAAGTACATTTTAGACTAAGCTGCTAACTAGGGACATGTTTATTTTACATGATTTAAATGTATTTTTTACCATTTTCCCTAAATTATATAGTCTTATGGAGAATTTTATGTTTTACACAATTGAAACTTAATTGTGTGTGATTATTTTTGAGTTTCACGAGTTGATTGACCCAAATCTTGTACTTTTGGATTTATAAGTTTTTTAGTCTTGTGTACGTTAGTTTTAAGATTGACATGTAGAGGTTGATTTATAATTTGGTCGTGTTTTTCTTTAAAAAATTAAAATAGATCGTCGACTTAACTTATATAAATAAATTTTTTTTGAAGAATAAAACTAAAATAGATCATCCGACTTTAACTTTTTTATATAATTGCAATATAAATCTTAATCCATGAAATTTGCAACATACATTGCAAAAAGTGCAAAACAAAATAAAAATATAACAATCTTTTTGACTTAGAATGAACAAGCCTTTACCTAGCTGGTAACCATAATTACATTTAGTGAATCTGTTCTAATTTTTTGTGGTTCAACCAGCTCGATTAAATTCACATCTAAAATGCTTAATTTGGCTATGGATTTGTTCGAAAAGTAAGATCTCTGATCTCACTTTTTTTTCCCCCTTTTAGGTTTAAATTCTAGCACAAGTTTAATTTTTGGTTATCATAATATTCATGTATTTCGAAATTAATATTTTCATGCACCAAGCTTTTTAAGCTCCAAGTCCACTACGTTTTATATTCATATTATGGAAATATTTTAAATGTACACGGTGTGGCGAAGATTTTTATTTATTATGAAGTGGTTCATATATTTCATTATATAAATTGAGAATTAAGTCGGAAGAAGAAAAAAAGCAACTTTATTTCTCTTCTTTTATTTCTTGATAGATTTTTCCATTGATTGAAGTAACACTGCTTCGATTAAATCAAAGCTACTATTTTTTTTTACTAATATTAGATCAGATCAAGGGGGGTTTAAATCAACCTGCACGGTGAAGATTTATGTAACTAACCCAACTTGCTCAGGAAAGGATCATAGTTGTTCATTGGACTTTTTGACTCCCAAACGGGCCTTAAAATCACTGATTGATAAGAGACTCCGCCAATCTGAGGTTCTAATTTCAATACCTTTTACAACTGCAGTAAGTTTATCCATCGGAATCTTGCTTACAGAAAGCAAGTTCGCAACCACAGCCTGGATAATTGCCAATTCAGCCTAATCCAGTATTACTGACCAGGCTCCAGGAAAAAGTCCTCTCATTTATACCACGACTTGTCCGAGAAGATGAGTATGCGAAGGATCACATATACAGCTGTTACTTGGTGCTTCATGTGCAATTGCACAATTGACAATGTGGACTGCTTCCTGTTACATTGCAATAGTAGCAACACAGCAATGGTGAGAGTGCTGAATTGGTTTGGAAAACAGAGGACTATGTCAGGCACAACAAAAGAAGGTTTCACAGCCCTAGGGAAGAAGGAAGAAGAGATGGAGGGATACGACAACAACATACCAAATATAATCCCACAAAGTAGGGTGATAAATGAAGAACAATGCTTGTTCCAACCTAAGCAAACGCCGTGAAAGGTGTGTTTATTAGCTTGGTCTGCAGCTTCAGTCCAGTGCTGACAGCCGAGAACACGAAGGATCAGAATGTGTCAGCTTTCACCTGGTGCTTCATGTGCAAAATCACAGTTGAGAATGTAGGCTACTTCCTGTTACATTGCAAAGTGGCAATACAACTGCGGTGAGAGTGTTGAATTGGTTTAGACTACACTGATGCCAGGAACAACAAAGAAAGTTACACAGAAAGGCCTTGGGAGAAGGAAAAAGAGATGTAGGGCTATAAATGGCTATAAATTCAAAAGAAATGTTATGAAATGTCATATATTCCTCTCACCAATGTTGTGATATACCAAACAATTGTATGGCTATAAATTCAAAAGAAATGTTATGAAATGTCATATATTCCTCTCAACAATGTTGTGATATACCAAACAATTGTATGGCTATAAATTAAAAAATAATAATCTCATACTGTTTTCACTTGGCCAAACTTCTACTTCCAATTTACAACCTTTGAACGCATGATACAGAAAACAATTTTATTCTAATTTGGATGTGTGATCCCAAATTTATTGGTTTAGATACCTGGAGCACCAAGAAGGATATGTTTATTACCTTGGGTCGCAACTTGGGTCCAATGCTGACAGCCGAGAACATGAGAGCGTGAAGGATCACATCTGTCAGCTGACGCATGGTGCTTCATGTGCAAATGCACGGTTGATAGTGTGGACTACTTCCTGTTACATTGCAAAAGTGGTAACACAGCTATGGTGAGAGTGCTGAATAGGTTCGGAATACAGTGGATGGATGATGTAAGGCTCAATAAAGAAAGTTACACATCTAGGTCTGGGAGGGAAGGAAGAAGAGATGTAGGGCTATAAACTAAAAGGAAATGTTAAGAAATGTCATATACTCCTCCCAGAAATGTTATACATTAAAAAGAACTTGATACAGTTCTCATTTAGGTTCTAATCTTTATATACATAATACAGAAGATAAAAAAAAATTGATAATGGTAACTAATACAGGAAGACAATTCTATTTCAATTTTAAAATGTAGGTCCTGCATTTATTGGTTTTGATACCTTGAGCACCAAGAAAGGTGTGTTTAATTGCTTGATTCCCAGATGGTATACCTTGAGCACCAAGAAAGGTTGTTTAATAGCTTGGATTTGTCACTCGGGCAGCACCAAGAAGGTTTGTTTGATTGCTTGAATCACAGGTGGGATAGCACCAAGAAAGGTGTGTTTAATTGCTCGATTCACAGATGGGATACCTCGAGCACCAATAGTGGTTGTCTAATAGCCTGGATTTGTAACTCAGGCAACAAGAAGAAGGGTTTGTTTGATTGCTTGAGTCACAGGTGGGATAGCACCAAGAAAGGTGTGTTTAATTGCTTGGATCGCAGATGGGGAGGGGTGCTGACAGCCAGGAACCTGAGAAAGCAAAGGATCACACAAGTCAATTGTCTGCTGGTGCTTCATGTGAAATGTGCTACTTCCTGTTACATTGCAATAGGCAACACAGCTGTGGTGGGAGTGTCAAATTAGTCCAGATTACAGTGAATGATGCCAAGCACACAGCTGGGATGTTCTTCATTAGCACTAATGTGGATCTATAGGAAACAGGTATATGAGAGCTTAAATGATGTAAAAACTGACTTTGCACATATGAGGAATGCATTGTGTTTCTAACTTTGTGCATCCATGAGGTTCCGGCTGTATGGATAGTGTCGTTCTCTAATATTTGGTAAACTTGTGGTATACAGAGTTCATTAATGGAATTAAAGACAAAACTATTTCGAATCTGAGACATGTTAATAACCGATATACTATAACTTTACATCGTCACACATTGTCATCAAGGGGTGTGGTAAACAGAATTTTGTGAAGAGGCTGCTGCAACAAATTTCATACCAATCCAGGCTGAATGACAGGATGACAATGTTGAAGGACACTAAGGACAAATGTGGCCAAAAAATAATTATTTTCTACATTTGCGTTGTCAGACCTTTAAGGTTAGCAGACATGATAAATCAGAAAATTTATGAAGAATCACTGCTTATATCCAGGAGACAAGTTCCTTTCGGTATTAGAATTAACCAATCTGGATTTCAGTCAATCATCTTTGAAGGATTAAAAAACTAGATGTTATTTATATGAGGTAAAAACCAATTAATATTTTATAACAGGAAAAAATAGGAAAATTGGCAAATAATAAGTCAGATGAGCCGATGTCAGCAGGTATAAAGCATGTTCTTTTTGCTAGCTATGTTGTATTTAAAAATGTCAACTATGTTAAACATCTAAAAGAGAAATTTAGAACACCGCCATAGGATTAGCTTTGAGATCTTATCCAAGATTCTCAGAACAAGAAACAAGAATCTTATCATTTAAAATCAGCGAAGAAACAAATCCATATACCATCAAACATTCACCGACTATCCAAATCATTCAAGATAAACCCAGATTGAGAGCAGAACCAGTGAAAACTTCTAATATTTGGGTCAACAAAACCGTTCAATTAGTCAGTACATGCCTTTTCTGTTCTTGTTCAGATGAAGCTTTTTAACTGAGGTTTAAGATAGATGTCGTACTGGAACTAAAAGAATGAAGACGTTCAAAATAGATGCACAAGAAGGGAAAATAAGAACCAAAAGCTTTTATTGAAACTGGTAAATCTGAAAGAAGAACGAGAAACTTCATATGTGTTAAGAGCTTATACTTAATTTAGTTCTCTTTCTTTCCAAATGTATTTCAACAAAAATAAGAAAAACATAACGCCCAAAGGTAAGAGACAGAAAGAAAGGAAACTTATAGGCATATACCAAGGATATAAAGTGAAGGATGAACAATTATCATAAAAATCAAAGAAAATGAAAACCAGAAAAAGGACAAAACTAATATAATGGAACAAGGGCTTGAGGGAGAAGTTACATTACCTGGATCCCTACTTTCCAGCAAACGCGCAGACAAGATTTGCAGCATACTGCAACTCATTGGAAGGACCTTCCAACAAGGTAATGTGAGCCATCAAGGGCCCGCACTTAGGCGGGCCCCATAGCTGTGTTGAAGTTCATAAGTAGAGACCGCTAAATAGATTAACAAAAGAACGGTTTTTTGCTTTGCAGACGATGTGGGAGAAAACCGCATGCAAATCCTATCATACCCTCCCTTCTTTATAACTGCATACACATTGCTGAATTAATAAACTACCATTTCTACATCTTTCTTTTACTCTTTTTGATACCAATATAAATTGTGTGATCTCTAGAAATGTGATTCTCCCAATCCTTGTTTCAGATTGACAGATTATAGCAGCCTTCTACATGGATTATGGTTGAATTAATCTCTCTCATACAAGTGCCTAATAAGTGTGACCGTACAAGTCAAGTCGATAGTCATTGAGAATTACAATAGTAATGAATGGAACTGACCAGCTACCATTATCCTAAAAGTGCCAAACATCAGGAATACAAATTCACAAGAAAATAGATCAATAGAGTACCTTTTACACCCTAATGTAAATAATTACGACCACTGAGGGGTCACAAATTACCATCAATATGATAATACTTGGCGTAAAAGAGTTGGAGAGACATTTGACCAAGAGACCTGCCAGTCTTACTGCCCACTTGTTGCATGTCCTCAAGGTCTTTGTATAGGAAATGAGCACACACTACTCATACCTCGAGGGGCCATTTGATTGTTATCAGCTGAATATTTGTGTACTTTAAAAGCAATATCTATGCTTCTAGATACTCTTATCCAAATTACTTTTTTTATTCCATATCCATGATCTGAATTGCACATAATTATGTTAGTATTAGCCATACATAGTTAGTACTACAACAAAAATGGTACTCCCTCCATCCCAATGTTATGTGTCTTAAAGCCTGTCTGGATGGACTTATAGTTTTTGGCTTAAAAGCACATTTGTTATGATTCAAAAGTCTCCCTTTGTTTCTTAAACTCTATGCTTAGTCAAACCAAGACACTTAATTGGGAGGGAGGGGATTTTGTTATGCATAGTTTTACACCGGAAATTAAATTAGCAATACAAAGTTTTATGTTGCAAACCAAACATAGTATATTAGACATGCAGAATTTTGTGTGCAATGATACTTTCTTATGTGGCCAACCAATCAACCTCTGATTATATATTCTCAAAAAAATTCTGGACAGAACTGAATCAGATAACTTGTTTTGAACTCTACTAACCTCCTGTTTTGCATATTGCCCAACCAGGAAACTAAGAAGTCCATATTTGCCTGTGTAATCTCCTTGTAGAGTAACACTAGTTTATCTCCTTTATAAAAAACACGCTAGTGTAATAAGCGATTCTTATTTGATCACCAAAGGAAGAGCCTGAGAAAAGGCCAAATGAGCATCCAATCAGCTATTACAGTATATCAAGAAACAACAATTATCCATTTATTGAATAAATGCCGTGAAAAAAAATAATGGCGATCATATCTAAAACGAAGAAAGATAAGAAATGACATGAAACAAGAAATAAATGAGTATCGGTCAGAAGATAACAATGTAAATCTTATCTTCTGAAATATACCTTCACTTTTCTCTCCTTGTATCGTTATAAGGATATATAATATTTTAAATATAAAAAGACACACACACAAACATACACATATAGCAATTAAAGAGGCATTTATGTACCAAACTGAAAAATCAGTATGGCCCTTTACATTTGACAGTGCAATAATGTGCTTCAAACCTTGCAATAAATGTAAAATACTACTTAGAAACATATCCATCACTTAAACCTGAGGCTTTTGCAAGTGATCCGAAAACTAATTCTAATTGTTCAAATGGACACTTTGAAAATGTGAATCAACCATAGAATTAGAAGCATTCGAATTGGTTTTCCTAACCAATTGTTAAGACCACAGCATTTTCTTTAACACGAGACAAGTCTATGTGTTGCTTATGGTCATTAGCAACCTTGAATCAATATCTCCATGTCCCTTTACTCTTCTTTGAAATTACAAACCCCATTGTCTCCATTTCCTTTTTCAGCACCACACTCTATAAATCAATATAATCAGTCAAGAAATAACTCCATACATTTTATTTAGACAAAAAATTAAAAGATCAATAATGCAAAATTGGGACCAAAGGAAATATAGAAAATCATAGTTTCTTGAAGTTCTTGAAGAAAAGCAGCAACTATATCTAATTTTTCGGATTGTTTTCTTCCTGTCTATATACAATGAAGAAAATTATTTCCAAAATTGAAATCAATGCAGACATTTTCACATTCGTGATTCACATACAAATCTATTTACTCCCAAAATTGCAATACCTAGATTCGGTATGGAAGCCACTGCTAAAACTGAAGGAAGAACTGGTCCGATGAATGTACCCTTACTCGGATGGATACAAATGGCGATGCGACCCGCCACGAGAAACGGTTTATTAGGGTTTTGACAGAGTTGATTTGGGAAAATACCCGGGGTATGGACTTCTGGCCCACGGATCGTGGATGCTTGCCCAAGAATTCAATTGACCTAAATGGCCCCAAACATTATGATATATACGGAAAATGATTTTTAAAAAAATGTTGTGTGAAGCCGAATAAAAATACCCTTAATTAATAGTGTTTTGATTCAAATATATTTTTGTTGTCAATAATTTGGTCTAAAAATGTCCAAACTATTAAATATAGTTTGATGCAAAAACACCTTTATTATTTACTTACCGGTAAAAAGATAAAATTCATTCTGTCCACTTTTATTTGTCATGTTGCGATTTTTTCAGAAGTCAATTTGATTAATTTTTAAAGTTAAATTAGAATACGTTAATTCAATATTAGATATTCAAAAACTATACGAAAAATAATAGAAATTATAAATTTTGCATATCAACATGATAAAATTATACATCATAAAATATTAATCAAAGTTTTTATAATTTGACTCTAAAAAAAACCATAACAATTAGTAATTTTTCTTTCTTCTTAAAAAATATTTTCTTAGATAAAAATATTACTATTGAATAACCTAATTGCTATTTTCTTTTCGTTTAAAATCACTTTAGCTAATAAATAAGTGAGAAATAATCTTTTTTTTCTTTAATCTCTTTTTAATAATTAAAACATAATAATTTCATTTACCATTTAAAATCATAACATATGTCATATATATAATATCATGATAATTTTATTATTTATTTTCATTTAAGTAACAATAAAGAATTCCATAATAAATTTTAAAAAATTATGTCTTGACCTTTTCTGAATCGGAGTAGAATAAACATTTTAATATTTTTTTAAAAACCATCACTTGGAAAAGAATGTTGTTAAAAAGGCAAAAAAAAAAATGAAAAATAGCATTTTTGACTCATTGTAAGTAAGAGATATTTTTGTATTAAATTATTGACCGTAATAATATTTTAGACTAAGCTGCAAAGTGACATTTCTTATTCAATTTCGCATAGTTATGATTTTTTTTTTATCCTTTTACATAATTTTGTATAATTTTGTGCAGAATTTCATTATGTATTTTATATGATCGGAACTTGATTATTATGGCTATTTTTCTGTTACACAAGTAGATTGACTCAAATGTTACACTTTTGGATTCACAAGTTTTATAATTTTGTATTATATTACTTTTTGAGATCGAAATATAGTGATTGATTTAGGAAAAAAGGTCAGAAATAGTGCAGGGTATAGAATGATCACTCAATTATGCACTCTTCTGAGAGAAGAGTGTATAGTTGAGTGACAATCTGAGGTATTAACTCCACTATTTAGCTAGCGTTTGCTCATAGATATTCAAATATTTTTGGCAAATATTATTTGGATGAAAATTTGGGTGAAATTTTACCATGTGTTTGGCCATAAAATTTGAGAAACATATTTCATTTTTTTAAGAAATATGATTTATATCCATAAGTTTTTAAAACTATCAAACTAACCATAAATTTGTATTACATAGCACAATAGAAATCTCACGTAACAAGATTTATGACTTCCGCAACAAATCAACAAGAATCATTACAGTAAATATTCGTAATGATTTATGACTTCCCAATTTATATTCAATCATGTATCTTTTTTTAAAAAAAAAATAAGAAAATACATGAGATAAATACGAAATACTACAAAATTGTATAAATAAAAGTTTGAAGAATAAAACTAAAATAGGCGTCGACTTAAAAAAGAGTTTTTATGTAAAATATATAATTATGTAGTTCTTTTAATAAATGTAAAAGAATTAGATACTTTAATCATCATAAAATGCAAAAATGTATCATCTTTTTAAATTTAGATGGAATGAACAAGCCTTTATCTAGCTGGTAACTATTACTTACTTTTGATGCATCTGTTCTAATATTTTGTGGTTCAACCATCACAATTAAATTCACATCTGAGATGCTAAATTTGGCTATGGATTTGTCCCAAATAATAACATCCCACCTTAACTTGTCTTCTTCACGTTTAAATTATAGTACTAATTTAATTTAATTTCCTTTCTTTACGTTTAAATTACGATACTAATTTAATTTTTGATTCTCATAATATTCATCTATTTCGAAATTCTTCGATCGGATGAAGAATTCATTATTAACCTAGCTTTTAAAGCTCCACTATGTTATATTCATATTATGTAAATATTTTAAATGTACACGGTTTGACAAACATGTTTATATATATATATATATATGAAGTGGTTCATATATTACTTTTAAAAAAAAAGGAGATTAAGGCAATTGGAAGAAAAGAAAGCGATTCCTTTGACTAATACTAGTAAGTCACTTGAGCGTAGTTTTTGTTGTTTCTATTAATTTTTTCTGGTGAGCATTTCATACAGTTTTTTCTTTCATGAATTATGTAATATTCTCCCCTAGCTCCACTTTTGTGTTGTGTCATGACAGTCGATTTTCTCGTAAAATCACTTTCTTTGTTAATTAATATTGAAATCTAGAGAAAAAAGAGATTTTTTTGAGATAATAATCATTAGTTGAGTAATCATATGAAAAATCAACTATGTGTCATTACTAAATCGGTAAGGTTTACAGTTTAATTGTTCTTGACCTAAGTTAAAAAAATAAGTCACTATCTTTATAGTCCATCAAATTAACTAGCATACAAACTTTTTTCACAATTCGACCAAAACAACTTGTCAGAAGTAAGAGCATCAACATTTACCTAACATAATAAAGGGTCTTGAGATAAATGGTTCTTAGGAGTTAGGGAGAGAGTTTCAAAATTGGATTTAATTATGAGCACCAAGACATGTGCTAGCTATTATCATTACATAATAACTTTATTCACATTTTTTTTCACTGCATTTCAGTGCTTACATAGAACATGTGATCATAGTTTTGTCTCTATTAATCGTACCCAAAATTGGAAGTTCATGAACCAACTCCTCCTAATTATTTCACACATTTGTCTCTATATACCGTTCCTGCCGAAAATTGGAAGTTCATTGGCATTTGATTTCTATAAGATGAACCGGCTGATCATATGATTGCGTTACTTCTTTTGGCATTACACATTTTGCAAGTAGCAATATCAATCTTAAAGTACAATTTGTTTGTTTACATCATTTCTTATGTTATTTTTTTTTTTATCTTTCAGAATCAAAACGCGAGAGGAAGAAAGCTTTTACATGACTACACTTGGAAACAATGGGTTCATTCTCTTTTGCTCCTTGTTTTTGGCAGGTCAGTAGAAGGCACAGGCTCCGTGAAATAGACATTTTTGTGAAGACGAACAAGTTAATTAATATAATCTGAATATATAAAATCAAGATGTTTAATTTCATGTCTTTGAGTCGAATTGGCAATGAAACACTTGCAGGTACTTTCCGTATCTTATATGAAGTAGTAATTAACAACAATTTCACTTCTCTAGGATATTTGGTTCATGGTGCTACTAAACCTTATGACCATTCAGCAACAATAGAGGTATATATACTCGAATTTCTCTTTTTACAGTATCAACGTATTGAAGTTAAACTCTTCTCACGTATGCTAATTTCAGTGCCACAAGCAACCATTCGATCCTCAATATGGAGGAGGCTTAATTGCAAATCCTGGATTTGATAAAGGCACAGAGGCCTGGAAAATGGATGGTCATGTAAAAATAGAAGCAAGGGAATCTGGTGGAAACAAATTTATTGTGGCGTATAATAGAACCACGCCTTATAGTGTCTCACAATCTTTTCACTTAAAGAAGGGCCTATATTACGCGTTTTCAGGTAAAAATATTACTATAGGCATTAAAGAAAATTTCATATTCCTACAATTGATTTTGAAGAACCTGAATTTTATCAAGTTAATTATAAATAATATTGTGCAGCTTGGGTTCAATTAAGTGAAGGATCAGATACTGTGGTTGCCATGATTTATAACTCAGCCCAAAAAACTGTTATTACTGTGGGATCAGTAATAGCTAAATCTGGTTGCTGGTCTATGATCAAAGGTGGACTCACTGTCGATCATAATGCACATTCAGAGCTCCATTTTCAGGTATTATATCACACCTGAGCGAGGCAATTGTAAAAATATTCTCATTTATAACTGTTACTGCAACATTTTTTAACATGTTGTAGCAAGTAATCTGTATTATTTTAACTGTGCAGAGTAATAACACGAAGTCCGAGTTAAGGGTGGATAGTGTTTCTCTGAAAGAATTTACCAAATACGAATGGCAGGAAAATCGGTTCAAAAATATAGAGAAGGTTGTTCCTAAATTTAACTTGTTCCAAACGAAAATTTCATTCTTTTTTTTTCTCCTCTTAATTTACTCTTTCTGTCTTATATATTTTGATAGGTTCGGAAGAGGACACTGAGAGTAAATGTGTCAAATAAGAATGGCAAGAAAATTGGAGGAGCAAAAATCAAAATTCAACAGAGGAAACTTCAATTTGTGATTGGCTGCGCAACACCATCATCCATTTTAATGTCTGAATCATATCAAAAATGGTTCGTGTCCAGGTTTACAACAGCAGTTTTTGACAACGAGATGAAATGGTACTATGTGGAAGGATTACAGGGCCACGAAAATTATAGTACTCCAGATGCAATGCTCAAATTCTTTGAAGACCATGGGATTGATGTCAGAGGACATACCGTCTTATGGGGAGCAGATAATATCCAACGTTGGGTAAAAGATTTACCCCCAAGACAACTTTTAAGTGAATCTGTACGACGAATGGGTAGTATCATGTCAAGATATGCAGGTAAATAAACACATGATTCAAAATTTAAGCTTGATAGGTTTAACTTTTATTATTTTGAAAACATTGAGTTCAGTTGAACCTGTAGCTGATAATATCCGTTCGTCTCTACAGGTAAATTGGTTGCTTGGGATGTTGTAAATGAGAATTTACATCACCCGCTATTTGAGGAAAGACTTGGGAAAAATGCTTCAGCTATTTTTTACAAGATTGCAAGTTCATTAGATAGCAAAGCGACTATGTTCTTAAATGAGTTCAACACTTTAGAGCACCCTGGTGATATGGTTTCTATACCTTCTAAATATGTCGAAAAGCTTCAGGA